GGGGGCCCTAAGCAAATCTCCGGGAAGGGGCGTTTGCAATTGAGTACTTTGTGTGGTGGGTAAATACGCTACTGAGCGCTGTTGGTTGTAGCGCGCACATGAATAAGTAATGCAGAAAGCTCTGTCAAAGAGTATTTAGTACTTTATTACATTCACATTGACAGAAGAGCTCTTTAAAATCGGTGGATTCTGATTGGCTGTCAATCATTTTATCATTAAACAACTGGGAAAAAAAGTTCTGAAAGTGATTTCAACAATATCGGTCATCTGTGATGTTATCGATAAAGGTGTGGAATTCTCAACAATTTAAAAATTGGTGAAGTAGCCTACGTTGATTCAACGTACGGATCTTGTTCAATGTTGTTTCAATGTTGAGACCACAACTCACATTATTTCAACCACATTTCAACGCTGAAGGTTGTTCATGTGCCGGCTGGGAATTTTCATATAATAAGAATGATTATTAAAACTGTATAGTTATTGTTATAGCTTATCCTTGGTGTGAGCAGCCAAAAAAATGATACTTACAGTTACTTTTGTGATTTGGAAGTTATTATAATATACCCATAAATCATTACCCCGTACGCATGACGAGTGCTGCACATGTTAAATAGACAAGAATTGGCTTCCCTCACTCTTCTCCTCTTGCACCCAAGGCCTTCAGCAAGAGGGTGCATTAGCTCCCCTATCATATCCTCTGTCTGGGCCCAGGGAGCTCTATTGTCACCCCATACAACAGCCCCTTTAGCACCCCAGCTGCTTAACACCCTAAGGCTCCTCAGTCTCAATGACCGGGCTTCCAGTAGGCAAAAAAGGGCCTGGGCGTACGTCACCCAGCGAACCGCCTAATCTTCTTGCCTTGTGCATTTGCACCAGCCATTCTGCGGCACGAATCAAAAGCCACCTCGCTAATTAGAGCCCTCCATCCTTTTACTGTTATTCCACCATAGAGAAGTGATCTCTGTCTCCGTATGTATAGAAGTAAAGGCAATAAAATGCATGCGGTCTCAAGGATGCTTTGGAAAGCTGTTCTTTGGTTTAAGTCGCAGAGCCTATTTACGAGCAGAAAAGCACTTGAGAGCTTGTGTGGAAACGAATGCAGGGAATTTACGCATGTCATTTAAAGCTGTGTTGTGAGACTTCTGGCATTGAGAACTTGCATTTGAAGTGATTCGAAATGGTTGACCTGTAATCAAAGTCAGACTGAAACAAGCAACTTCTTAGCATTTGACACTGGAGTGTTTTTTTCTGCGAGTGTCGATATGCCATGAGAATCACCATTTCTCCATGTCAACATATTGCATATTTAATTCAGTCAGAATAATTGTTGTGAATCCTAGACTGACATATAGTATTATGATCCAGAGAGGCCAAATGTCCAATTAAACAACTTTAGAAAATGATTAAAAATAACCCAAGAAACTCTCTCAAACTCTTTACTGCATTAAACTTGTATCTAGCCCTGAAGATAGCTTTTCTAAATATAAACTGCAAAAAGTACTTAGCATTTTTGTCTTGTTTTCCAGTACAAATATCGAAATATTCTTAAATCAAGATAAATTTACTTGAGAAGCAAAATGACACAGAATATTTAATTTTGTTTCCTGAAAATGTATCAGAATTAAGTGACTTCATGCTTAAAACAAGAAAAAATGTCTGCCAATATAGGGTAGGAAAAATAATCTTGTTTTACCTTTGAATTAATTAAAAAGAAATATTAACTCTTAATTTTAACACGTTTTTAATCATTTATTCCTGTGATCAAAGCTGAATTTTCAGGATCATTACTGCAGTCTTCAGTGTCACATGATCCTTCAGAAATCATTCTAATATGCTGATTTGCTGCTCAAGAAACATTTCTTATTATTATCAAAGTTAAAAACAGTTTTTGCTTCTTTATAGGCATCTTAAAATGCATTTAATCAAGCTACTTTAATAAGAAACTATAATAATAAAATATGTGTAATGTTCTTCCTCCCACACATATCAGTCAAACATTAAAGCTTATATCAGTAAGAATGCATTAAAGTTATGAAATTTAAATATCAAAGTCTCAAACATTTTTTAAATCCTGCACAAGCTTTACAGTACTGTCTTGCCAATTTAAATAGTGCCCTCTAGAGGAATAATTCCTGTATAACAAAATACAGCGCAGAGATGACGCTATTTCAATAAATAAATAAATAAATGCAAATGTTTTTATTTAAAAAATAACTACACATAATATACTACAGACATTTACGACCATATAATTTGATTGCTTAAGTTTACATAAACAGAAACGCACACCAATTTTTATCATACAAATAATAAAAAATGTCTATAAACAAAAAGAAGTCCAAAAGTTGTTTCATTTTGTTGAAGGTTAATGTATAATGTCAATCACAAAACTCCGGTTTGGATCCATGGCAACCAAACTGTGGCCTCATTCACAGATGCACCACACAGGGTCTGTATTCTCTCTGCTTACCGCTTTCCTTTCTCTTTTCAGCACAGCTCTGCTAGCTCTGAGCTCCATTCACGCCCAGTCAGCGCCACCAGTGTGCTCTTTTCTCCACTCGTATAATTGGTGAGCTCAGGCAGAAATATTCAAGCCCAGCACACCGCAGCCATCCAGAACAGAGATTATGTGATGCTGTATTGCCACAGGCCAAAGACCAATACATTCAAAGACACTTTCCACAGAAATTCACCTACATTACTGACCAGATATCAAAAACAGAAATTATGACAATTTGATATCAAACTGAAGAAAATAAATTAAATAAAATTTATAAACAAATAAAAAATAGATGTTTTAAATCAATTAAATTTAATAATAAATATAATATATTTAAATAAATATATTTTTATTTTATGTTTTGATTAAACGGAACAGATTTAACATCAAACTACAAAATAATAGGCCAATTAAATATCATTATTATTATTTTCTCCTTTGATAAAATCGAACCAATTCAACATAAAACTGGAGAAAATAGACAGATAGACAGATAGATTATTCATTATACATTTATTTATATATGCATTATTTTCTGATTCAAAGTAAATAAATCAATAACAAACTGGAGAAAATACAATAAAGTAAATAAATATGATTAATATTATATTTATTTTTCAAATTAAGCAATTTTTTATTTTTATTTTATTCAAATAACCAATTCAACATCAACCTGGAGGAAAATAAGTAAACAGATAAATATTATTTAGTATGTATTATATTATTTTCTGTTTTGAATAAAATTAACCAAATTAACATCAAATAATTACCTAAAATAAATAAATATTATATTTATTAATTTTCTTTTTATTCAAACCATCCAATATTCAACATCAAGCTGTAGAAAAAGTAAATAAACCAATAAATATTTTTATTATGTATTATATTTATTGTTTTCTCTTTGAACTAAAGTTGAACATTAAAACTAGAGAATTTTTTTCTTTTTAATTAAGTTAACCAGTTCAATATCAACATAACGAAAATGATACATCTAATATATATTAACAACAACAACAACAACAACAACAATACATCCCCTATCTTACCTCAAAAGACAAACATCAAGATGGGCCTCACTGGGATTTCGCATTTCACGTGCTGACTAATTTGGCACTGCCTCTTGGCCATCATTCACAGTGGGGTGTTATATACTAGCGGCACCTTGTGTCCTTCAAAATTTAATTATCTTTAATTTGCTAGCACCACGTTGATACATGCTTGTGAAATGGATTTGAGAGACATATCATTATGTCCCTCAACTTCACACCATTTAAATAAATAAACAAGCATTAAAAAAATACAGGCCCGAGGTCCTAATATTAAAGGGATAGTTCACCCAAACCTGTCGTTCCAAACCTGTAAGACCTTCGTTCATCTTCGGAACACAAATTAAGATATTTTTGATGAAATCCAAAAGCTTTCTAACCCTCCATAGACAGCAAGGGTACCACCACGGCCAAGGCACAGAAACATAGTAAGGACATCGTTAAAATTGTCTATTTGACATCAGTGGTTCAACCGTAATTTTATAAAGCTACGAGAAAACTTTTTGTGATCAAAGAAAACAAAAATAACCACTTTATTCAACAATTCTTCTCCTCTGCGCCACCCTGGCGCCATTTTGGAGTATCATGACGCATGCGCTGTGCCTTGTTTACATTCAGAGGAAAGCATGCGCGGAGGAGAAGAATTGTTGAATAAAGTCGTTATTTTTGTTTTCTTTGCTCACAAAAAGTTTTCTCGTAGCTTCATAAAATTACAGTTGAACCACTGATGTCAAATACACCATTTTAACGATGTCTTTACTACGTTTCTGGGCCTTAACCGTCTATGGAGGGTTAGAGAGCTCTCAGATTTCATCTTAATTTGTGTTCCGAAGATGAACGAAGGTCTTACGAGTTTGGAACGACATGAGGG